TTTTTTTTTTTTTTTGGGTAAGAAATTGAGAAAATGGGGCTTATAATTATTGAAATAAATCCATCGAGAACTGTGACCAATGCTTTATCGGTTATTGAATCAGTGAAGCTACAAATTTACTGATTAATTAGTCGATTTGGGTTAAAATGATTCAACCGATATTTTATTAACGGATTAAAATATTATATAGTAATTTAAATTCCCGTTATATATAATTTCAGAATGTGGTGAGATTAAGTGGCAGTTTCGCACGCTACGTAATCTTATGTGACAAAATATGATGTTTTGTAATATGGCTCGGATAAAAATTAATAGTTTTTTATGCCAAAAAAAATTAGATTCGGACTGCCATATATTTATATACATATTTAATATACTTAAATTATTCCATATAAATCAATTTGTTATCGTCTTTCTATAATTTGCATATAATCTTACTTTCAAAACTTGGTTCGACTTATTTAGTAAACTACAAACTTAGACCAAAACCCAAAATTCCAATTGAGCTAACCTCGAAAATGCTCGTCTCGATTTGTTTGATAACCAAACTAGATCAAATGTTTGAGTTTTGATCGTTTAAATATAAGTGAGTCAAGTTTTCTTAAGTAAATTGAGTTATGTTAGTGGACAACTCAATTCGAATAACAGCAGCACCTTTTCAGTCTCGAGTGAAAAAAAAAAAATTCTAGCTACGCCTCTAGTTGTATCCCCTTGATTGGCTGTGTAATTTCGAGAGAGGTTGTATCCAGACTTTGTTCTGGCTCCAGTAATATCATTTGACATACCAAGAGGCCTAATTGACATACCAAAAGAGGCCTAATTTCTCAAGAGTAATGCTCCTCTACTTACGGTGGGCACATTTTAATATGCTCACCGCTTATGTGGCATGCACACATTGGTGATGTAATTTTTTGAACATATTAGCATCACCTGAATAGCACAAGAGAACATTTATGTAGACCGGCAGAAATCGGCTCGGTTTCTGGACCGAGCAGATGCGATTGACCGAGCAGATACAATTCGGTGTCGCATGTGCTCTGGCCACCAATAGTTCTTTTATGGGTATGGTGGACTTGGAGACCAAACGAATGTGTTAACATATGGGCTTGGCCCAATAACAACTTAGTCGGGTTCCCGACCTGCTAATAGTTGGGTTATGCGGTGGGTTGAGAATCGAGTAGGGTTACAGTTATCAAATTGACCCCTAAACGACATGTGTAGTGTGACGATCATAGGAAGGATAGGTGATATGATGAACGAGGAGAAAAGCGTACATAAGAAGCTAGGGAATTACCTATAAATAGGTGGGTCTTGTGTGGTGGCTGAGGTATGAGTTTTTACGTTACAAAACTCTAATATACAAACTGAGCTTTCCTAGATACCCTACTAACTTGAGCGTTGGAGGTTTACCACTGGGAACATTTTCCGGCGTCTTTGCAGGTTTTGGAGGGCTCAAGCGGTTGGAGGTCGAGGAGGGCGGTCCAGTGTACAATAGTACATCATCACCAATATGTGCATGTCACATAAGCGGTGGACACATTAACATGTGTCTACCGTGGTAAGGAAGCATTATTGAATTTCTCAATATGCTGTACAAAAAGAGAGTACACATCCCCTAGCTATAGTAGAAGAGAATAGCTGCAATTGATAAGTTCAAATTTAAAAGAATAATTTTGTAGTCTTCCTCAATCCTTCTCAACTCTCTTCGACTTGTGATAAGGAAAAAAAAAAAAAAAAATCGTGATTGGAAATTTTTAAAGTTTTTTTTTTTTATTGGAAAAATTAATATCAACTTGAATTCAAAACGTGGATTATTAGTGGTGAAAGGCCAAAAAATGCAACCAAAAATGAATGGCGTCACAAAAGGGTGATGCAGACATGAAACACCAAAAAAGTTGCACCAGCCGGGAATCGAACCCGGGTCTGTACCGTGGCAGGGTACTATTCTACCACTAGACCACTGGTGCTTTGTTATCTGGAAAGAAATGTTTACTAGAGGTGATTTAAACAAAATTAAAAATACCACAAGAAAAATATGCTTATATATGATACTTCAAAAATTAGTTATCTTGTTTCTCACAATTACATAAAACGCCCAAAATATATACATCTTAATCCCAGAAGGACGTAGGATAATTTGGAAAAAAAAAATAGTTTGAGCTTTTTCATAATTACAATGAACCCCAATGGAACTTCATAAATAATCCCAGAAACAATTTAGTAAGAATGTTAAGAAAAGAATATCTGAGTTAGCATTAATTTTCCCCAGGCTTACGTACAAAGTCACAGAAAAGAACTATCAAACCAACGTAGTATATCAACCCAGAAATTATATATCAAATTTCGACACACTCGTCAGCCTCATCATCCCAGTCGAGATCAAACGAGCCTGCAGAATTCATCAGGTCAGTTAGCCCGGTTAGGTCCTCAAGGTAAGTCGGATGGTTAATGGCTTCAAGTACGAAATCGAGTCCCTTCCTTCGATATTCCGTTACCACCTGAGAAAAATAAATAAATAAATAAATAACACAAGAAAAATAATTCTAAATGAAATTTCATTGTTAAGGGTCAAAGTATCTCACAGTTGAGCTACAGGCGGTGCAGCTCGTCGAGGCATGGCCCACGAGTGTCATCTGAGAAAACTGAGAGAGAGCTCCCCGGACTTGATGAGGTAAAATACCAAGAGGTTGCTCGTCGTTGCTAAAATCACTCGAGCTAGAAGATTCGGCTTTCGCCAATATCCTGCATAAGTCAGCGTAAATATATATTATAAAGTATTTTAGCAAATATTATTGAAATTCAGAGGTTTTAAAAAAAATAATTAAGGAAAAAGACATACCCGGAAGGATTATGCAAGATTCCTACAAGAAGCTCAACGGCAAGTGATGATGCAATAGGAGCAAGCCCTGGACGTGTTACAGTGCATTGCTGGTCTAATGTACGGTTACTAGTTGACTGTCAATATTAAAAAGAAAATAAAAAAAAAAAAGAAGGAAAAAAAAGTTATCGTTCTACGAATTTTTATGCACAAATAATATTGGAAACCAGTTGCTATAAGATCTACTCACATCAACAGGAGCTACAACATCATTGCAAAAGTAACAACCCAATCGCGGGTCTGAACTGTTGTCCACGAGAGATAAATTCCAAAATTCAACAGATGAATCATTTGGACCTTTGGATTTCGTTTCGTGACAAGAGTTCAGTGGACCGGCTCCGTGGCGCATAACTAGAAAGCTATCAAACCCTAGCGCAGCAGTTATGGTTATCTACAACAAAATTGAAAAAAAAAATATATATATATATATATATATCAAACTTACGTCTATTTGTGAAGTTTATTTGTGAAGGGGAAAAATGAAAGAATGTTCAACCTTGTTGGAATTGGCACATAATAGAGTTGGAAGCCATCTGCTTTCCCTTGTGTCGGTCAACAAAAAAATTGCATCATGAGAGTCGATCAGATCACACAAGTGCAAACAGTCATCAAGCACGTTTTTCTCTTCTTGGCTCGTCACAGGGTGCCCAGGCATTGGAATGGCCATTACAACAGATTCAGCTTCCTGAGAAGGAACAGTGACAAAAAGGCAAATAGAAAGTCACTTCAGGCAAAAATATGCCACTAATATAATATACATATATATACACAATTTACCACTGCCGGAAATATTTTTCTCAGGCTATTAACAGCTGCTATGGCCTTAAGTTCACCACCATTCAGACAATCATCCAAGGTATACAGAGACTGCCGCAATGGATTAGACATGGACACTTTGCCACTATCAAGAAGTGTAATCTTTCGAACGCCCCACGCCTGCACCACAAAATAAATAAATAAATAAATAATAACAATAATAATAATAATAATAATAATAATAATAATAATAATAATAATAATAATAATTTTATGGAGGTCACACAATAATTATAATTTATATAGGATCATCAAGTGCGCACCATGAGCATTCGAGCGACCTGGCATCCAAGTGTACCAGCTCCCAAAAGAAGACATCTCGTGGATGATAGAATGTTGAGATTTAATGAAGGCAATTGCCGCCACCTCATTAGCTTTAAGTTCAAATCTGCTGCCTCAATTGCTAACCTGTTAAAATTGAAGTACAAGCACCGATCAAAATACTATGGTGTGGCTCGAATTTGTCAAATTACAATTATGCAACATACTTAGAGGGATCCATTGTCTTGGCTAGGCTGATACACCTTGGTGCCTTTTTTCCTCTGTTATTAAGTTCCCAACCAACAGCATTTGGCATACTCTGATGATTTCTTAACTCTAAATAAAAATGATCACGTGAGAGTTGAGAATGCATCAAAACTGCTATAGCAGAAAATAGAAATTAGAGAACAGAAAAAATATGAGAAATGCTATAGGTACATAATATTGTACATAGGGGTATATTGTTCGTGAGTAATGACAGAAATACCTTGCGATATTAATATTGAAGCTTCGCCCACCAAGGATAACTCAAGATCCGCAAAACCACGGTTTTCGCGGTAGCAGAAAAAGGAAATCTTTTGAAAGCCCCATTTTTTAAAAATATACCACAGGAAGTTTCGTAAAGGCCAACCGGGATTATTTGGAAGGTGACAGGGGTCATAGAATCCAAAAAGGACCTGCAGGTACATGTGGTCCACTTGTTTAATGCAGAACTTATATAGAATAGTTTATCTTAGTAGGTGAATTAGTGTATTTTTCAACTCACAGATTAATAACTTGGGTTTTTCCAATATATGGGCATGTTTATCAGTGCATGTGTGTATCTCTAAGTAAATAGTGATTTTCCTTTCAATTTTCATATGACAAACCTTATGACCGTCCCTTTGGCATGCTTCGAACTCACCCAGATGCTTAATAGTCACAGCCGAATTTGACGAAATAGACAACAGGAAGAATGGAATATCTGTAGGAGACTTGAATTTTTAGAAAGTGAAAATAATATAAGAAAAATAAATAAATAAAATAAGCCAAAAACATTTAAGAAATATTTTACCTGTTGTTGAGCCCAAGTTACGCCAATCATTACAGGCAGCTATTACAGACTTTGCCTAATTTTTTTCCCAAAAAAAAAAAGTTGAATCAATATTATTTCGAAGAGCTATCGTAAGACAGTTTAAATTATATATAGTTGGGGCACCTCTTCCGTGCTAAACCACTGAGCGGCTGGCTTCAGCTCAGTCACAGTGGCTGGAGGATCAAGAATCAAAGCTGGGAAAGCAAACCAGTAATGAAAGCTCCACTTTTTCAAGTCGGCAAATGAAACAACAAGGAATCTCAAAAGAAGACTGCTGTTATCCTCAACTTCGCCCGAAACAATATCCTCCCAAATCTGAAAATTCATAATAATGTCAAACAAGGGAAACATAACCATTTTCAACATCAGACGCAGTTAACCATTCAAATACAGAAAAAAACTTAGACAAAAGATCTCTTCAGCAAAAACACCAAAAACAACAATTCCACATTAAAAAAAAATGGAGCAAAAAGATACCTTTTTGGCTTCTTCCTTTAGTAGACTCTGCTTGTCGAGAGCCTGGAATCCTTCCAACGTGTTCGTATTGTAAAGAATGCCGGGGACAGGACATCTATTCCGGTTCCCACGAGTTATTTCCGGTGTAAATGATTGTTCACTAGATTCAAGTGGTAATGATTCAGCAAGAAGGGCCAAATGATTTGATATTTGATGATGTGAGCAAGGCGCGTAAAAACCTGCAATGTGGAAACACAGTTAGAATCACCAACAGCCATGGTTGTCTTTGCCCCCAAGATCAACAGAGTAATCCGATTTAAACTACTAAAAATTCTTAATAATCTGATCAAACAGTTCAATTGTTGTAATCTTTTGGGAATCATTGGAAATGTGCTCAAACAAGGATAACCTAAACTGGGCAAAAAAAAAAAAAAAAAAAATTAAGATACAAGATTGATGATATAAACATAGGTCTGAAAGAGGATAACACGTACCCGTGATAGGAATAGGAGATTCATTGATTCCCAGATTGTTGAGCTTCAACGATGATAAGCTGTGCCAAAAACCCTCGTCAACTGAACTCTGCAATGGCGCGAACTGAAGAATCAATTCTTTAGCTCGATCCGCCATAATTTAATCGATGAGAAGTAAGATTGAACTTGGGAGAGCTGCTTTTCAATGCTGATTACAAGTAATTTTTTTTTTTCGAATTTTAAACAAAACTAAAGACTGTGAACAGTGATAAAATTAGGGCAGGAATTGAATTTGGGGTGGATGGTGTTGAGACTCTGAGAATTGCTGGGGTTTAATTGATGTCAGTTGTGTTTAGCCACACAGCTGACATGACAAAAATCTATGTTTCGATAGGTTGTTTGTATATTATTTATTTATTTTTCTGGCTTTGAAATTACAAAAATCTATGTTTCGAAAGGTTGTTTGTATATTATTTATTTATTTTTCTGGCTTTGAAATTTTGTCGGGTATAAACATCCCTCCATATATGTTCTATATATTAATCCAGAACGCGTTGAGCCTGCGTGGCTGCTTCTTGTCTATGTTGCAATATTACATGCTTCGTTATTAGGCTTAGATAAATCCTTCCTATATATAATTCTCGAATGCGCTGAACCTACGTGGCTACTTCTGGTGCTTCGGAATCCTATTTGGCGAAGAATCATGCTTCGTAATTAGGTTTGGATAAATAATATTGATATATTAATAATTAATAATCTAGGTTCGGGTATTCCATAAATATTATTTAACTAACTTAGGTATTTTAATATCACTTTTACTAATATAACCCTTTAATTCTTTGTAATTTTACATAGTGAGTCACTAAGTGACTAATATATCCCTGAATTTCGATTTGTTTCCTTCAATAAGCTATTGAATTATAAATGTATTTTAAAAGTTGATAACTTTTGTATTTCTTAGCGGTTTTACATATATAATATATCAAATTAATCATCTTTTGATGATCTTCGATTTGACATCCATATTGTATATATGAAATAAATAAATTATATTTATCTTTATAATAATAAAAAATAATAATATTTATTAAAATTCATTAGAAAAATAAAATAATTTCTCAATTGATACATTTATATGTAATGTAGTTATATATTGTAAGTTAAAAAAATTAGTATAATATAACATAAGTAAGTTGCACAAATAAAAAGTGTCATAATAAATATATAATAATATATATATTCTTGTAAAAGGTATTTAAATTTTCAAACTACTTTTTCTCATTAATTTTAGATTTTAAAAAAAAAATTAGCAAGCACCCGTGTAATACACGGGTGTTGTACTAGTTTTAATTTAATTCCAAACTAGGTGGTTACCATAAATATATTGATTATTTATGGTCATGTTACATGTATTAATTGTATTTTAATATCATTCCGTATTATAACTATTGAATTGTATATATATTTTAAGGTTAATAACTTTTGTATTTTTTATCAGTTTTACATATGTAATATATTAAATTAATTTTCTTTTGATGAGCTTCGATTTAACATCCATATTGTATGTATAAAAAAAATAATTTATATTTATCTTTATAACAATAATAAAATTATTTTTAATATTAACTAGAAAAATAAAATTATTTATCAACTAATATATTTTTATTTCAAGTAGTTATATGATATGAGTTATAAAAAACTAATATAATATAACACATGTAAGTCATAAGTAACACATATCATTCTAAAATATATAGTACTATATTTTTTTTTTGTAAAAAACTAAAGTAAATTTAATATATTTTTCTCACTAATTTTAAAATTTAAGAATAATTTTTTAACAAGCACCCGTGTAATACACGGATATTGTACTAGTATTAATTTAAAACCCGTTGAGTTTAAGTGGCAGGCTCACACGCTTCAAATGCTAACATAGCAAAAATATATGTTTCGGAATGTTGTTTGTATATTATTTTTTTTGATTTCGAATTTGGTCTGGTTTAGACATAAATATTTTTTTTCAAAATTGGCAAGTGTACATTTAATTTTGTTATTTTTTTTTTCTCTTAGTACAAATTTGCTTCTTAATTTGGGTAAGTAGCAATCTTACCATTAATATTTCTCTCCTATTTCTCTTTTAAATTACGATTTACAAATCACTTTCTACACTGTCATTTCTCTTATTTTTTCTCATTAAGTAATCAGATGAAAAATTTAAAATAAAAATCTTATTATCAATAATTTTTATAATATATTTTTTTAACTCAACACCCATGTAATACACGAGTATTCTACTACTTATTATTATTATTAAGAAATTCATCTAGTAAGCGTCTGACTTAGAGATATGCAGCATATTCCACGATCAAATTAGCAACATATGCTTATGTAATTTGTCTATTTTAGAGGTTCTTACAAGTCCACCGTTTCAAATCTATCTTCCAACCATTTTGAACAACATCCATATAAAACGCACACAAAATCAAACCATCTGAGAGGTTATTTTGGCCACACGTTAACGAGATTCAAAAATAAGATAAACATTCATCTTTGTAAGAAACGGGAGAAATGGGTGGGGTCCCACGCACGTGGAACGCACAATAATAGGGTGAGCGTAGATGTGTCATAGTGAAGTTTTATCTCAAAATCAGTTGGTGGAAAGAGAAGTAGTCACTAGGCTTATAAGTTATTTTACATGTATAAACGATATGGACAACTCACAAGTGGTACTTGTGAGTCCTTCATAAGAAGACCAAAGCCCAACTAGGTCGGGCTAACGGACACGTCATCGAACGGTCCGAAGCAGAACCAGTTCTGATACTATGTAAATATCGGGACAAAACGGGTGCGGTCTCACACACGTGAACCACACCATAACAAAGTTAGTCTAGATACACCATAGCGATGTTTTATCACAAAATTAATTGGTGGTATGAGGAGGGGCCCACTAGGCTTAAAAGTTTAGACTATTTTTTCCTGTATCATAGGCCTAACTTAGTGAGCACCTCCTCATACCACCAATTGGTTTTTGGATGGAACCTTACTATGATTCATCTAAGTTCGCTCTGTCATACACCTCCTTCCACCAGTTGGTTTTGAGATAGAACCTCGCTATGGTACATCTAGACACACCTTGTTATGATGCGCTTCACGTGCGTGAGACCGCACACGTTTCCCCCATTTCTTACAGTCTTTTCTCTCCAAAAACAGATATTGCTCGTCACATTCAGCCCCAATTTTTTTTTTAAGTCCCAATTTGGGGATTCCAAGTCCCAAATTTCCTTATCTACTCACGCCATTCACAAAACATCACAATAATCATTTGCTTGAGGTTTCGGATCAAAACAAAGGTCCTTCTTTCCAAGGTAAGGTCTTTTGTTCTGTTCTTCATTTCTTTAAGATTTTTGTTCCCTGAAGCGTTGAGGATCAAGACCATATTGGGCAAGCAAAGGTCCAAACAAAAAGGAAAAAAAAACAGGCAGATTGAGATTGAGTAATAATTGAAAATGAGATGACATTGCTCAAGAGGTACGTATTGAGGCTGTTCATATCGTTAAAATACATAACAGCAAATGTCGTGGATCGAAACAATGGACGGATAGTGGCGACTGCATCGACCGTGGAGAATGCTCTGAAGAGCACTTTGGAGTGCAACCGCACATGCAATGCCAAGTCAGCTGCACTCGTGGGGGAGGTTCTGGCCATGAGGCTGAGGGTTGAAGGGCTCGAAAATGGGCAAGGTAGAGGAATCCACGTGGACATTGGCAAGGAGATCGATAGGAAAGGCCTCCATAATCGGACTAAGGTGTGGGCCCTTGTCAATGCTCTCAAAAACAATGGCGTCAAGCTGGTTCTTGAGAATTTGTGATTGAGGTGTAAGTAGTGCTGTTAAATTAAATGAACCTGGCTTGGCTCGGCTCTGCTCGAGTCGAGCTCGCGCTCCGCTCGATAAGGCTCAAAAAGAAATATTTTATATAATTTTCTATCTTTCGACTCGTTAAAGCTCGAGATCAGCGAGGCGAGTTCGAGCTCGCAGCTCGTAAGGGCTTGAGCGCGGCTCGTTTAGTATAAGTAATGTTTATGTTCTTTGTTGTTCTTGAGGATGGATTTGGGATGATATGCTTTTAAAGTGGAATAAGCACTTTTGCTGGTATTGTACGATGGCATACGAATGAAACAAGTCATGAAAAGATAAATTAGACAAATATCAGAAAGCATAATCCTCTTTTACATTATAGATTTCTCTTCATTTTTAGCTTAAAAGCTAAGAATCATAGTGTTTTACTTCTTAGGTTTTAGTTCTTAAAGAAACTACACCATATTTGTTAGGTAAATACAACCATATTTATTTATCTAATATTTGCTCAAGTCTATAAGATAGAGATATTTTTGGTGCTACTTTGTGATCTAATTATGTCACACATCTATCTATATGAACAATTTGGAATATGGTTGAGTGGTATATTTAGAATACGATTATTATTATTTTTTTGAATGAAATTTGATTCACAGTATGTTATCTTCATTCATTCCAATATTTTATAATTACAGCAGTTGATCTAGTAAAGTTCCTTCTGGATTTTCATTTCTTTTCAGCTGAAAAGCTAATACGAATCACTGCGGTTTCCTGCTTAGTTTTCAGTTCGTAAAGAAATTACACAGTGAATCTGCGGAAGCAAACATTTTTGGGTCAATTAGAAATGAAGGAAATGCGATAAAATGATAAGTTTTATGATTACCTGGTAACGAACGAGCGAGCCTACTTGCAATCGAAATAGAACTTTGCTTGAATTGTTGGTGTAATGGACGTCTAACCTGAAAACTGCAGAATCTTGGCAATATGCTGCAATTAATCCAAGGCCCCATCGAAAAACCGAGCTCCCAATTTGAAGAACTCGAAAACAAAATATTATTACATCAATTATAAATCTAACAACAATTGACAAAGATGACTATCATAAAGTTTTTTTTTTTTTTTTTTTTTTCCTGAAAATACATTTCTACAAAAGAGCATCCTCATTTAACACCACAATCAATCAGCATTCATCCACAAAAAGCTTAAGCAAATTTCTCAATGCATGATGCTAAGTATATAAAATGGGAAAGATTTTGTCGAGCCATTTACAGATCTTAAACACTGCACTCATCCAAACGGCTTTTGTGAAGCTGAAACGCGGGATTAATCCACCTCCCACAACTGCACTGCATCCCCACCCAACTGAACGAGCCTAATCGAGCTTTGCAACCGAAACACTGAAGCTTGTCTCCCAAGTAACCTTCCTCCACTGTCAATAACAACACACATTTAAACAGAATTGGATTATTATTAAGTAAAACCCAACCTATCACTCAAAACGACAATAAAGCAATAAAGAAATACAATTCTAAACGATAGTGAACGGAACTTGTTGGCTAAGGTTCAAAGCATACGTGTTTGCATCCACTTCATGGGCTCCACGAAAATAGACGAGCACTCAACCGGTGCTTCCAATTCAAGATCCGCATTTCTTCTTTTCCCTCTGAAACCTTTTTGTCCTTCACCACGGTTATGGGGAATAATATACTCTTCCGTGGCAACAATTCTTCGGCATTTCTTGCATCGATATATTAATGAAGGCTTTGCAACAGAGCCTAAGTCAACATTATCCGGAGCCCCTTCCATTGGAGTTGCCATTTGAAAGGCTGCAAAAATCTATATCTACCAGAGAGTATAAAAAACAAAGAATCACCATGTAACACACCAAACGAGTTGCTTTTCCTAATTAACCGCACAATCTCATAACAAATAAGCTACCGAGCTTCTACACATTTTAACACAGCCACAAACTCCAAATTTTCCACTAAACAAAGAATGTTGCATTATAATACCAAATAGTAGCATAAAACAACAACAACAACAACAACAAAGCCTTTTAGTCCCAAACAAGTTGGGGTAGGCTAGAGATGAAACCCAATAGAAACAGCAGTTAAAAAAAAAAAAAAAAAGATTGGAGCAAAAGAGAAAGGACCAAATAGTAGCATAAAGTTATAATATTTAAAAATCTACAAGATTATAAAAATGAAGACTCCCCATGTAACAAAATTTGAAATTTCTGTACACTAAACGAGTTGCTTTTCCTAATTAACCGTACAATCTCATAACAGAGAAGCTAGCAAGCTTCTACATAGTTAAACACAACCACAAACTCCAAATTTTTCACTAAACACAGAATGCTGCATTATAATACCAAATAGTAGCATAAAGTTATAATATGTAAAAATCTACAAATTATAAAAATGAAGACTCCCCATGTAACAAATTTGAAGTTTCCATACACTAAACGAGTTGCTTCTCCTAATTAACCGTACAATCTCATAACAGAGAAGCTAGCTTTTCACTAAACACAGAATGTTGCATTATAATACCAAATAGTAGCATAAAGTTACAATATTTAAAAATCTACAAGATCATAAAAATGAAGACTCCCCATGTAACAAAATTTGAAGTTTCCGTACACTAAACGAGTTGCTTCACCTAATAACCGCACAATCTCGAAACAGACAAGCGACCAAGCTTCTACACAGACAAACACAGCCAAGAAACTTCAATGTTTTCACTATACACATATTGTTGCATTAGAATACCAAATAGTAGCATAAAGTTACAATATTTAAAAATCTACAAGATCATAAAAATGAAGACTCCCCATGTAACAAAATTTGAAGTTTCCGTACACTAAACGAGTTGCTTCACCTAATTAACCGCACAATCTCGAAACAGACAAGCGAGCAAGCTTTTACACAGACAAACACAACCAAGAAACTTCAATGTTTTCACTATACACAGATTGTTGCATTAGAATACCAGATAGTGGCATAAAGGTACAATTTTTACAACAGGGAAATCCTAAATATAACATCTAAGCTCGAAAACAAACTTGAAAACAAACTACCGATCGAAAATAAGATTCAAAAAATAAAAGTAAAAACAAATTACTTCTACACTTCTAAGAAGCTTCGCCTCTAATTCCACAATACTAACATGGAAATAGGGCAACCCATCACATACCCATAAAGAAACAGAGCCACCGACAAGGGATATAAGATTGGGAAATGTTACGGTTCCATTACGGAATCATTATGTCGGGTTTGTAACGGTTAAATCAACTATCCTCGACGATTACATTATGATCTAACGGTTACAAATCTCGACGGAAGCATCTCCCTATAAGATTTCTGTAATTAAACCGAGTAGGAGAATTTGATTAAGGATCTCACCAGAAACTTACAACGTCGACGCCAATACAAACAACGACAATGGCATTAACTAGTTGCGAATTTAGGGATTTGAATACTCAGTCTCTGTTCTCGTAACCTAGGCAGTATAGGACTAGGAGAAGCCTAGCTCAACATTTATTCTTGTAAGATTAATTTTTTTTTTTAATATTTAGTTCAAAAATATAAGAATGTTGTATCTTTTTTCCACATAAAATGTAAAATAATTTTCATTTAAATAATAACAAGATTATAAAAAAATTTATGCTAATTATAAATATATTATAGTTCAAAATTTGTTTGTATCAATTATATTAATTAATTAGTGTGATACATGTGTACTACACGTGCACTTAAATATATTAATTAATATTTGTACAATAAGAGAAATTAAAATAATTTATTTTTTTATTATAAAATTTTGTATAATGATATTCGAGATGATATCACAACGAGACCGTAGCATTTTCCCTCTTTTAAGGGGTGATTGTTTACCAATCCAACTCAAAAAAGAAAATAATAATAACAATAATCAAAACTCAAATTTAACTCGACTTTAACCCAACTCCACTATCTTCAAAATTATCAATATAATTAAATAATATCAATCAATCATTCTTATACGTCACATCAATTTTAACTAACAATCACTCTCAATCACTCTCAATCATTTTAATTCACTTACATAATTTTAACTAACAATCACTCTCAATCATTTTTCTCATATTTTACGTCAAATCAATATTAATTATTTTATTTAAATATTATTTTAATATATTCACTAACAATTAATTATACCACTTTTTTTTCAAAATTAATTATAATTAAAAAATAAATCAAATAAAAACTAATTCAATCCATAAACAATCATCCCGCTCTCTTTGTCCAGCTTAAGAAACCTTTATTAAAACAACATTTTACTATAAAATATTAATATAAATAAATACAATTAAATATGTAAACGTATTGAATCAGACTATAAAATGCAAAACAAATCTAACAAACAAAACGTATTCCAACACTTTCCCTTTTGATCAGACGGTATCGTCGCCGCCGCCGCCGCCGCCGCCGCCGCCTAAAATTACGGTAAACATCAGACGACGCGTCTCGGCGATTTTAACTTTCGGTAACTGTTGCAAGAAATTGGGGATTTTGGATTTGCAGACAAGATGGACAACTCTCGCCCCTGCCACAGTTGCCGGGAAAGAACCCTAGCCAAAGACGGTGAATCGGGCAAAATAAGTTGCATGTCGTGCGGCGCCGTTGAGGAATTCGACGATTTCCAGGAACATTTCGGCGGCTTCACCGGCCCCACAGGCACCAACGTCCGCGTCGGGACCGCCGGCACTGGCTCCGTCAACAATTACAAGGAGAACAAAATCTTCAAAGCCCAGAAGCTCATCGACGACTTCATGTGCAGATTTGAGCTTTCGGTGTCGAAATCCCGTGAGGTCAGGATTCTGATCGAGAAGATCACCGACGGCGAATACGGCCAGGGCAATTGGTTTCCCGTTCTCATCGGCGCCTGTACTTATGTCGTCATGAGAAACGCTCAAAAAGTGATGCCCATTGTTAAAATTGCTGATTCGGTCGGTTGTGACGTTTACCAATTAGGCCGGATGATTGGCCGTGTTGTCGATTTTCTTGATATGAAGCTGCCGGAGTTTGACATCGTGAATTCCTTCGAACATGCTGTGGAGAATTGCTCGAGCTTCAGCCAGGTTTCGAAGGATACAATTGGGAAGATGCTCAAACAGGGTGTTTTCTTAGTTCAGTGTTTGATAAAATGGTTTGTTACCACCGGACGAAAGCCGATGCCAGTGGTAGCGGCAGTTTTGGTGTTTGTGGCCGAGTTGAATCAATTGAGCGTAAAACTCGAAGATATTGCAAACGAACTTCATGTGGCTCTTTCTACTTGCAGGATGAGGTATAAGGAGCTTCTAGAGAGGCTCGTAGAAGTTGCACGGGTTTTGCCTTGGGGAAAAGACGTGACAGTTAAGAATGTTTTAAAGAATGCTCCTTATATTATTCAGTACATGGAAATGAAGTCAATGGCAAAATCTGGTGATAAAAATCCTAGCTTTGAATTTTCTCAGTGTGATATTCAAGAACTGGTTGAGGATTGCTTGAGGACAGATACTGGTAGTTATTCGGCTGAAGAATCTAGATTGAATTACTTTGATATCAATCGACCGTCGAATTCGAGCGGTGTTAGTTTGGATAATTTTCGAATTTCACCCGAGTGTTTGACCATGATTTATTCTAATTTCAAGGATGAGATTTCTCTTGTCAAGGCGAATGCAGAGATGATTGGTGTGGAGAAGAATATAGGGAAAAGGCGAAAGCATATTGACCTTCATTCGTGTATTGATTGGTGGAGTGGGAAATCAGATTTGAGCAAGAAGCTTTTCTTGAAAGAGGTCTTAAAGAAGGATGTGGGATTGGATGTGACCCCCCCATCTTTCGGTAAGGCGTGTTTGGCCTACGAAAAGAGAAGGGAAAGGATAAAAACTGCCAAGTCCCGCATACAGAGGATTATGAATCCTGAGATCTCGTGCTCTGGGAAAGGTGATGATCCGAGTCTTGTGGTGTCGGCAAAATCGGGTGAGAAGAGGAAGAGAGTGAAAGCGGTTGTTGACTGGGAAGATTTTATCATCGAGACTCTCCTTCTTCATAACGTGAATGAAGAGGATATCGAGAAGGGGCATTATAAAGTACTGTTGGATTTGCACGTGTTTAATTATTGTAGCACTGAGTGAGTGAACGATTTTCATGTGAAGGAAGAGGAAATAGAGAAGGAGCTTTACAAAAGTTCTATTGAATTTGCACAAATTTAATGAATGTAGCATTGGGTGAACAATTTTTAGCAAGGTGTCGAGATGATTTATTGAAGAACAATTTTTAGCAAGGTGTCGAGATTTTAGTGAAATGTCAATTCTGTAGTTGCAATTTTTTCAGATTCATTTGCTACAGTTTCTTGATTTCATTTCCCAGGCCCGGTTTTAATCTTGCTCTCATTGATTTTGGTTATGCAGAATTATGTCCCGTGACTTTAACATATAATGCAGCTGCTAAAGATCGAATGCCTCATTTTTTACTTTTTCCTTCTCTGTTCAATTGTGGAATTTTATGAGAACTATGCAAAAAAGAAAGACTTTTATGAAGAAATGATACTAAAGGCATTCATGTGCTGCATTGTTGTTTTCCTATTTAAACTAAATTATGTTTCATATTTTTCATATGCTCGTGTCGTAAAAGGTGAGATTGCTGATCTATCTTTAAATTGTGCTCTGCTCTAACCTTCTGCTGGACCAACAGGTATCCCGTGCTGCTCGCGAACCCAACTTCAATCGTGTCAGCCAATTGGGGGAGCCCCATTTGGCAGTTCAAGTTCTTCGAGAATGGATGTGGCCAATCTTTCGACCTTTATCTTGGCCTTTCTTGATAAGTGCCCCTTCCTTTTTCTGCCATTGTTGTGAAAGATTATTTTTACTTCATTTTACTTACCTTTATTTCCTAAGATTTTTTTTTACTTCATTTTATTTACCTTTGAAGAGTATGTTATTCACACATTATTGCTTGTATGGGGGCAAATTTGGGTGTGACAATCATTCATATGCGCATTCGTACGACTTTAGTAAGGCTCCAATCTGCATATGACTTCCATAAGACTATCGTTAGATAGATCTAACTATTAAGCTACAATACTTTCCTTTCCAGTAATATTTTCCTTAGGATGACTCCACTAAAACTGTTTAAACTGTTGTTAGTTAGACAGACCAAACAGTTAGACAACAATATTTTTATTTCAATTGATATGCATGTCTTCAAATAGTAAAACTTACTATACATTTCATAAGATAATATGCACTTTTTTTCCAAAAAAAAAAAAAAAAAATTAAAATAAAAAAGTACGATAGATCAACCCGCCACACAAACGAATTTGTAGACTTCTGTTCTATTTTATAAAGACCTCAAGTCTAATAATGGTTTTGTGCATTGCATCATTTATTAGGACCACATATAACCCGTCATCCTTCTATTACATCTTTATACCGATCTTATACATCTTTATACAATTTGGATTAGCCGCATCGAAAACAAACGGTAAAATCGATGGTAAAAGAGATGAAGAAATGGTAATATTCAGTAATAAAATGAAGTGCAAGCGTATGAACGCAAGCATATAATTTGTCGACTATTGCGCCTTTTTTTTTTTTTCATTTTTTCCTATCTCATATATCATCTTTAATCTAGCATATAACCGTGTATAAGCAAAACTTGCCTAAGAAATAAATCGATAAAATTGCATATTTTACAGTAAATAGGTAAGCATTAAGGGTGCGACTGACTATAACATATTATCGGATTTGACTGATCGGATATCAACTATAATTTACTGTTCATCTAGTTGCATATTTTTTTAACTATCATTCTCAATAACTTATCTCTTATTTTTCACATCACATCAATTATAATAATTACATTTTAGATATTTCGTAATACAAACTCAAAATCTCATTCAATCAACCTTATTCAAAATTAACCAATAAATTCAATCAAAACCGATCTATTCGTATACAATTACGCCCTTGGCTACTTGACTGCAAAGGAACTGGCTAAGTCCTGAGAGGTCAATTTCGTGTAAATTACTTACCTCTGATGGCTTCAAGTTTCTGGCTTTGTTTAGTGTAAGTTCCATTTATATATATATTAATCTTGCAGATAGTGTCACGTAAGCGATGTTCTTAATATAAATTGTTAATATAAATTATGGGAAGATGCTACGGTTATATTACGGAACCTATCCGTCGGGATTTGTAACCGTTAGATCAATTATCTTTGACGGTTACATGATGATCTAACGGTTAAAAACCCCAATGGTATGGTTCCGTAACGGGACAGTATTATTTTCCTAAATTATATTGTATAGTTAGTATATAGCTTGCCCTCCAATTAAATTACAAGAAGTTAATTTCCTTGAAGTTTCTGTCATATTATTGCTTATGTATTAATCATCCCCAGTTATA